TGCTGCAGCAGTTCAAGCTTTTGCAAAGAGCAACAGAGAATGAGGAAACCTGCTTGCTCACCGAATGCCTCGCGCAGCTGCAATGTGCCAGAGCGCACACGCCCTGTTCTCCGGCGGTTGACCCAGCTGCATCACTACTGACAGCCTCGGCGCCGCTCGCAGACTCAGTCTTAACTGCGCTTTTGGACGGCGAAAAGCGCTGCAGCCCCGCAGAAACGCTGCACGAGAGCAACGAGACTGCCGCCTCCAACCTGATGGCAGCCTTGGCCGCAGCGGAGCGCGAGGTTGCACACACAGTAGCAACACTGCGAAAGTCCAACGTGACATCTGTTGCGGAGCTTGTCGCGCGAGAATTGACAACTGTGCTCGAACGCGTCTGGCTGCACAACGTCAAACTCGTCCGTAGAGTATCGACGCTTTACTCGCTCATGTTCGCGCTCGATGCTCACTCTAGCACACTGTCTCTGCGCGTTGCTGACCTTCAAGCGGAGCTGCTTCAGCAGTACTCGAGCTGCTGCGCAGCGTTCTCAGCTAAGTACGTTGCGCAATTCAAGCCTTCGGATGTCCGCGTGCGCACTGCGTTCAGCGCCATCTTCCAAACGCTACTTGTGTACTTTGCGCAATACTTCCAAGCTTGCAAACTCCGAACTCAGCAAAGCGGCACGCTGCTTTTCGCACCGCACCTGCCTCAGCCTGCGCGAGAAAAGCTGGACACAGTCAGTGCATCGAACGATTTTCTGCAAGAGAGCGCTCAGCGACTGAAAATTGCGGCACTGCTCTCAGTTTGCTCAACCTACAGCTTATTCAAGCTATACGAAACTCATCTCGTGCAAACCGCTGTTAATGAATTCTACGCACAGAAAGCGACCTCGATTTCGAGGTCGTTTGTTGACACGCTCGACGCGCTGTTCAACGCTTGCTGGACGCATTTCCAGCAGTACGTCAAGAGTTGCGCGCAATTACCTGAGCTGGATGCCTTAGTGCACGTCAACGCATCCGACACATCTAATGCTACCAGCGCGTTCCTCAACGCGCAGAACGGAAAATTTGATGGTTCCTGCGCGAGCTCTTCGCTCTACTGTGCTAGCGAGGCTTCGAACGCCGAGCAGCCTACCAGCTTTACCAATTGTAATGCGTCGCGACCAACTGAAAACAGCGCGCAACAGGGCGAAACACAGCGCACGTTTCAAAACATGGATGGCCGACTCACTGCGCTCAGAGAAATCTGCAGCTCCAGCCCCCTAAGTCGCGCAGCCTGTCAGTTCGAGCCAAACAGTACACTCTCGGCTAGCTGCGATAGTACATCGTCTTTTCCAAGTTCCTCATTATCAGAACAAACTGTGTGCATTCGACAGTCTCAAACGCAGCGCGACGAGCTTTTGTCTACTGCGCGCAGCATAGTAGAGTTTTGCTCCGGCGAGCCTGAACCAACTGCGTCCCGCAACGTAGGAAGGGTTGGCTCGGATGAACTCGACGTTGGTAGTCCGCTAAATAGAACGAGCGACCGCGACTTAGTGACTTCCTTCTCAAGAAACGTAGCATCCGAAATGAAGGACTTTACTTGCTCAAGTGCACAACGACCGCTGGCTGCAAAAGTTGAACTTCCGTTGCTCGAGCCCGCTTCGGCCTACGAAAGTGAACCTAGTCACGACTCGCGCGCAGCCAACCGCAAGTTTTTGTTCGATATGTCGAACTCGTCGTCATCGTGCAATGCCGACAAGGCTGTAGAAACGGAGTCGAATCTTCTGAATTGCATCGACACGCTAACCGACGTAACGGCGCAAGCCGTCTACGCAAACAGACAGCTGCTCTCGATCAATTCGCAACAGCCAAGCAATGTTGCGCCAGCCCACTGCACTGCACAAGAACTTCCAGTCGGGGAAATGCAGCTCGCTGACTCATCCGCACCAAAGGCTTCTGACGAGTTGCTCATCTTCGAAGAGTCGTCCACGGTGCGCAGCAATGAGTTCAACGTAGCTGCGAACCACGCTGCAAACTCGCTGGCCTGCTGGCAGCCGGTGCACAGCGGAAGCGGCAAAGGTTTTGCAAAACCGTTGGGACTTGCGCAATCGCAAACAGCACAACCGAAAAACTATCTAGTTACAAATGTAGAGCTGGCGAAAATGCTGTTTGACTACCTCGAGTTTATCGAGTTCGCGCCGCACCTGAGCGAAGTGAACAGCGGTTTGTTGGTTAACATTTTCACAAGAGGTGCGCAGCACATTGCAGCAAACACTAGAGCTGATTTACATATATATCTATTGTGTGCTGTGTGAGACAAAACAAGTAAATTTGTTTATTTACATCGGATCGAACATGACTGTCAAGTTGGGAATTAACGGGTTTGGCCGCATCGGCCGTCTTGTTCTGCGCGCCGCGCTGAAGAACAAAGACATCGAGGTGCTAGCGATCAACGAGCCATTCATGACTCACGACTACATGGCGTACACGTTCAAGTATGACACGGTTCACGGCAAATACTGCGGCACCGTGAAGAGCGAGCCGGGCAAGCTGTGCATCGACGGCAAATGCATCGTGATCACGGCCGAGCGCGAACCGAGCGCCATCCCCTGGGGCAAGAACGGTGTTGACATCGTCTGCGAGTCAACCGGCGTGTTCACCACAGGCGCGGCGGCTTCTGCGCACCTGAAGGGCGGCTGCAAGAAAGTAATCATCAGCGCGCCTCCGAAAGACGACACTCCGATGTACGTGATGGGCGTAAACCACGAATGCTACGACGCGAAGTATGACGTGCTGTCAAACGCGTCTTGCACGACGAACTGTCTAGCTCCGCTGGCGAAGGTCATCCACGACACTTACGGCATCGAGAAAGGTCTGATGACCACGGTGCACGCGACGACTTCCACGCAGCAGCCGGTGGACGCGACTTGCAAGGGCGGCAAAGACTGGCGAGGCGGCCGCGCGGCTAGCGGCAACATCATTCCGAGTAGCACCGGCGCTGCGAAGGCAGTCGGCAAGGTGATTCCTGCGCTCAACGGCAAGCTAACGGGCATGGCGTTCCGCGTCCCCACGCTCGATGTGTCGGTCGTCGACCTGACGGTGGTGCTGAAGAAGCCTGCGAAGTATGAGGACATTTTGAAGACGCTTAAGTCGGCGGCGCAGGGCAGTCTGAAGGGCATTCTGAACGTCAGCGAGGATGAAGTGGTGTCCTCGGACTTCATCGGCGACTGCCACTCGTCGATCGTGGACGCCAAGGCTGGCATCCAGCTGACCGACGACTTCCTGAAACTCGTTTCTTGGTACGACAACGAGTGGGGCTACTCGAACAGACTTTGCGACTTGGCAGTCCACGTCGCGAAGGTCGCCAAATTATAGATCTTTCTGCAATTTTTAAAGCCTCATAATTGCGCGGCACCGTAGGGATGACTGACTGTGTCGACTATTGGAAGGAGCCCGAATTCCGGCCGGAGGACATCAAAGAGCCGGTTTTCGCGGAGTCGGAGTTTCGCGTAATGTTTCCCGATTACCGCGCACCGTACTTGAAACAAATTTGGCCGAAGCTCACAGACTTTCTGCGCAGCAAGGCGCTGGACTGCGTGCTCGACTTGGTTGCGAAGACGATGATCGTCAAAACGACGCCTGCACTAAAAGATCCGGTTGCAATCGTCAATGCGCGCGACCTGCTGCGCCTGCTCGCGCGCAGCGTGCCGTTTCACACGGCCAAAAACGTGTTTGACGACGAGGTGCACTGCGACATTATCAAGCTCAGCAGCTTCGTATCCAACAACGACAAGCTAGCGCGCCGCCGGCAACGGCTCATCGGACCCGACGCGTCTACGCTGAAGGCAATCGAGCTGTTGACCCAGTGCCAGCTATTTATAGCCGGGCAAACCGCTTGCGTGGTTGGCCCCTGGAAGGGCTTGAAAAAATGCAATAAACTGATCACGGACTGTATGAAGAATATCCACCCTGTGTACAGCCTGAAACAGTTAATGGTCGAGCGTGCGCTCGCGCAGAATCCGGCGATGGCCAATAAAGACTGGACGCCTTACTTGCCAAAGTACAAGCGAACTCTGCAGAAGCGTCGCAAAGTTGTCAAAAAATGATCAGCTAAATAATTAGGTTTTCCGCAGTGTAACTTTTTCTTATAGGCGCGAGCAACTGTGATGTTGATTTGCCTGTTTCTGTCGATGCGGCATGCGCGTGGTTAGTTGCGTTGCTCTGTTGCTCCACGGGCTGGCTGCGGTGAGACTTCTTCACGGCGGGACGGAACAAACGGAGCAGTTTCCTGCAACGCTCGCGACAGACGAGCTTCATATCGCGACAGAGGAGCCGGATTACAACGACACACTCAAGAATCTAGTGCTGCCGCACTCAGACGCGCCGCGCGAGTTATTGTTCAAAAACGTTGTCATCGTCGATCCTTTGGAAATCAATGCGTGTGCGACGTTCCGCTTCGGGTGGCGTATGTGCGGTATTCTGTATCTAATCATGGACCCTCACACTCTGCGCGGGCTCGGAATGCCTTCGACGCCGCCTGCCACCGGTGGCTGCATGGGGCTGGACGCGCTGAACTCGTTCATCCTCAAACAGTCGAAGCGATTTGTCATGAAGCAAATCTCGAAGCAGGAAGTGGTCAAGCAAGTCATTCGCGCAGCTCTGGAAAGTACTGTCTTCATTGACGCTAGCAATGTGCGCGAACAAGCGCGCAGCCTTGTCGGGACCGCGCGTTCCTACGGCATGGCGAGCGAATACTTGCTGTTCATTCCCGGCTGCATTGCGGTGGACGTTGAGGTGAATCGCGCTCTTACTGCGGAAAGCAACAAACTGAGCCTATCTGTCACTCTTGAGATGATACGGAGACTGGCGCACGAAATCATTCTTCTTATTGAAAATTGCGAGTTATGTTTCGATAATCTCGGCTTACAGCCCGAGCAGCACGCCACTCTGACACAAGAGCTCGTCAGTTACCTGGGCCTGGTGCTGTCGATATCGGACTCGATGGAGGCGGACGCTTCGATCGCAGATTTCATAAAGCGGCTGGCGGACAATGTACTCAACTACAGCAGAAGCTCTGACGAGCGCCCACTCACAAATTTCTACAAAAGACTAGAGTTACTCAATGACACGCCCAGCAAGCGCGCCATCAACAAGCTGTTGAAGTTGCAGTTGCACTGTTAGCTTAGCAAACGTGTTTGCTTGCTACCGCGCCTAGTGTTCTTTGCACCGCTTATGGGCAGACACGCTTTCGCACGAAGAGCGCTCGAAATCTTCCTCGTTGGGTTCCTCACGGCTCCGACAGGTTTCGCACACCCCGTAGCAGCACTGCACGCCTTCGACTAGCGCGAAGCGCAGCAGCGGCAGCAAAATGTACTGGTACTCTACAGCTTTTTCAAGTAGCTGAAGCCACAGCATTGATGTATAGTTAAGGTGCGTGCAAGCACGCACAAGAAAATCCCAATGGGATTCATCGTAACCAACGTTCGTTTGCTACAAAGCCTAGCAGCAACAGCGACTTTAGTTCTGAATATGCGGAAAACGATCGATACCTTACCGCAGATTGTCGAAGGCGCGCTGCAGAAGTCGAACCTAAGAGGGTTAATCGACCTCGCAAGCATTACTCGATCGCAGCCTCGCGCAAACACTGCGCGGCGAGACCTTGTGACGCCAGCGGCTGACGCGCGAACCGCTGAGGAGGACCTTAAAAAATCGATTCGGGAATTTGCTTCGAAATTCCAGCGACGCAACTTGTCGCGCGGCATATACATTCACACCGATGGAACGCTGCACTACCCAGCAGACGAGCAGCAAAATAAGGCAGCCAGCGAGCAATTTGAGGAGGAAAACGAAAAAAACGCCGAAAGCGGTGACACCGTTGCCGTAGCGCATTTCAGCTGACACGGCAATACTGACAAGTAGCACTTTGGCTAGTTAAACTTTGGCTGAGCTCCGTTTAAATATGCGTTCAGCATGTTATAGCTTTCGACGTTGTTGTAGTCGTGCATTGCGCCGCTAAGCACGTCGTCGCACATGTCCTCGATCTCTTTGTAATTGATTCTCTCTTGGCGATCAATCTCGCGCTGCTTTTGTCGGATGCGTCTATTCAAAATGCGCTTGTTTTCGGTGTGCTTGTTCATTACCGAAATGCCCAACCCGCCCAACATAATGGTGGCCAGCACGCCGAAGAGCGCCGTGCCGGACTGCAGCATCTGCATGCCCGTCCATAAAATGTTCCCGCTGCCGCCGATCGGGAAGCCGAGCGCCAGACTGCTAATTGTGAAAGCAGAGTGCGACACGCCCAGAATGCCGGCCAAAACCGTGTCAGAGCGCATTGTTTCGGTCCCTTCTCAATTTCTAAATCTCGCAAATAAATGTGTCTACGACTAATTTTTTCACAATTAGTCTCATTATTTCGCAACGTCCCGCAGAGTACAAATTCTAGTCTGCTTCACAGCGTTTTTTTTTGGTTTTTCTCCCAGTCAGATTTGCGCAACAAATTCGCCGCTTCTCCTGTAAAAGTTTTATTCACTCGCACAAACACCAGCAAGTATATTTTGTAAAGATCTGCGACCACGCAGCGCACAGCTTCGACAGCTGCAGCGCAGCAGCCTGTTCCAGATTTAGGCAGCAGTAATCCACAGCCAACCGAGTGATTACGTTCGGATTCGGAGACGCGCGCTGCGAAACGAGCGTCTCGCAACGCAACCGCACCAACGTATTCAGCTGCGAGAAACCCGTAGCTTGGGTGCGCTTGTGTAAGTCAGTGCGACCAGCTTAAAGCTGCAGATGACGGTCTACGTCGGTTGCAGGTTCAGTAGCGGGCGGGCGCCGCAGAGCGTGTCGGTTGCAGCTAGGCCTGAGCAGACTGTGCGGCTGGCAAGTCGCTGCGATTTACGAGTTTGAGCAGTTCGCTCTTACTCGTGAACGCAGGCAGTCCTTTGTATGGGCAGCTGCTGCAGCGAAAGCCATCGCCTAAGTAGCAGTTTCCGCAGGAGCTTTCGGGCACGTCGGTCTGGACAGCGCGCTTGATAGACTCTGCAAGTTCCGCTTCCTCGACTTGCTTGCGGCCGCACGTGCAGTTTGCGCAGGCTCTTCTACGCGGCCCTGCTGGGTCTCGTTTGAGCGTATTCTCGTCGTGCGAACGCATGGGTGCTTCACTCGTGTGGTTGTACTCGTTCAGCAAGTGGCGCGACGTTGCGCTCCAGCGAGGCGTTTTGCAAGCGAGCGTGAGCGGCCATGCGCTGTTTTCGCGCGCAGTCCGCTTAATGTCCGTGAAACCGGCGAAGAGCAAGTGCAGCTCCAAGTCTGCGGCCGTCTGCGCACTCGCGCCTGCGGCGTGCACAAATACGGCAGTGTCGTTGGCGCAAAGCTGGAACAGTTGGTTAAGTAGCGTCGCTGACTCCGCGGCGACACTCGCGCCAAGGAACACCTTAACTGTGCGCGGCAGTCGCTGCAGCTGCGTCAGCGCCGCAACGCTCAGGGGCAGCACGGGCAGCCGGAGCGACTGCAGTTTCTCGCGAAGCGCTGAGAGCTCCGCACTCTCGAGCACCAAATACGCTGTTGAGGCGCTGGGCAGCAAGCTGTGCACACGCGACCGCATCGAAGCAGCAGGATTCAACAGTACCAGTCTCTCGGACGCAAATTTTGTGATAAAGCTATTTATTTTATCGCGATGACGAAGGTGAGCTCGGTGACCGCGTTCAACAAGCACGCCGCTCAGATCGCCGCGACGAAACGCGTAAGTTGCGCTTAGTTGCGCATAGCTGCGCTTCGTGCTTTGCGAGGCTCTGTGCCAGTCGCGCGCCAAGGTCACGAATGACGAAGTGGTTTTTACGCTGAAAAACTTAAATGATAAACAAAAAGCTTGCTTGCTAAATAACGCGCTGGACGTTTTCATGGCGAAAGTCGCTTGACGTACTCTACCAGCAGCGAATGACGCTGCGGCTGCGCCCTTGTTTCGCCGTGGACGAGCGGCACACGATCTTCCAGGAGGGGACGCACGCGAGCGACGAGCTGCTACTATACAAGACTGTTCGCGACGGCTGCGCCGCGTGCGCGGAGTCGACGCACTTTTGCGCGCAGCCGGAGCTCAGCGCGCTCATCGCGGTGCTGTTTGCTGGCTGTTTCGAGGAGGAATTTGTGGACCGCTGCCGCGAGCATCTCGCGCGCCAAGTATTCGCGTGCTGCGGCGCGTGCTGCCTGCTGCTGGCGGAGGCCGTATTTTGCGCTGAGCTGCGGTTTGCCGAATGGTACGACGACGACAGCTTTGGCGCGCTGCGCGCCTTCGCGCGCAGTCTGCTGCCCGTGCCGTTCGAGGGGTTCAGTTTGACTGTCGACTGCTCAGGCCCTGCGGTAGCGTCTGCGTACGTTGACGGGTTGCTGACGCGCGCGGCGTTTCCGCCGCTCGCGGCAGAGCGGGTTGCCGAGGTGTTGCGTCTGCGCGAGCAGTGGACTGCTGTGGCTCTGGTCAACTGGCTCGGAAGAGCGTTGAGCGCGGACGCGGCCGAGGAGTTTGTGGCGTGCGTTGCTGCCATGGACGGAGCGCCGCTTGCGTTGGACAAACGAGTCGACGCTGTGCTTGACGCGGCGGCGCCGCGCCAATCGGCACTGCTTCGCGTGCTCTTCGGCTTGACGCGGAAGCGCTACTTCGCGCTCAACTTTCGCTTGCTCCGGCACCTGCTCAACGCGCTGTTTTCACAGTACGTCGCAGCGCTCAGCGCAGACAGCGAGTTTGCATCCGCGAAGGACAACGTAATACTTTTTTTGCAATGCGTCCAGCGTGAAGATCAGTTGGCGCTACTGCGCAGCCACGTCGCGTTGTTTGCCGCCGACAGTTGCCTCATGGTGCTGCGCAGCGTTGGCGGCGCGTCGCCGCACTGCGCAGCGCTGTTGTGCGAGGAGCTCGCGGCCGTTCTGAACTGCGTCGTCCGGCTCGCGCCCAACCTGCGAAGCGGCTTGTCCGCACAGGTTCTGGCAAAGTTTGGCAGCTCGCTCAGCAAGACGACCTTGGTGCTGCTCAATTTCGCGGCGCGCGATGCGCTGCCGCGCCTCGCCACGTTCGTCTGCGCTGCACACTTGGTGGCGCTCGCTTTGCTGTTTGGAGACGAGCTTGACGACCGCACAGCATACCTAGACCAGTGTTTGTCTCACCCCTGTTTCAGTCGCGCGCTTGCGCGCGAGTGGCGCTTCGCGGTTGAGGGCCCTGGCGGCGAAGAGCGCAGCTTGTTGTTGTTGCTTGCCTCTCTTGCCGCAACGCTGCGCGACACGCTGCGCAAGAGTGTACTCGCGCTTTCCACGATACTCGCGACTCTGCAGCAGATGCACGGCGCCTCCGCGCCGTGGGACAACAGGACGCAGCTGCGGTTTGGCCCGCTGGCGCAAAGTGTAGCGGTTCCGACGGTTGTCAAGCGGTTTGCAGAATGCGCGGCTCAGTTCGGAAGTCACATGAAGGGCTGGACCGCTTTTCGCACGCTTCTGTTTTCGGAGTTGCTTTACGCGCTGTTGCTCAAGGCCGAGTGCGGAGGCGCTGCGGTCGGCGCGCTCCGCGGTGCGATTCTGCGCGACGCGCTCGCAGACTACCAGAGTTGGTTCGACTGCGCGCAATGGAAACCGGCCACAATCAACGCTCTGCTCTGCAACGCGGAGACCGCGCTGCTCTTGGAGCCGCTGCTCGGCGCTGGCGCGAAGGACAACTCGCTCGCGTTCCTCGGGACCGCTGTGCAACTGCTAAGCTACTTCCACCTGCTGCTCGACGTGCGCACTTTCTGTCTCTTGTTCTCTTTGTTCGACGCGGAAAGTCTGCGCGCAGTTGCGGAAGCAGCGTGGCGCTCCTATTGCGACGTGTTCTGTTGCGACGGCGGCCCGCTCGCTGCTCGCGCGCGCCTCGGCGCTGTCGCGTTGCCCACCATTTCCGCCGGCGTAGCTACGCGCTTTCGGCTGCGGAGTGCCGCGAGCGAGTGCTCTTGCGTGGACGCGCTCTTAGCCCTGCTGTTTGTTGACAGCGCACCCCAAGTGCGCTTGCTCGCGCTCTTAGCTGTCAACCAGGCCTGCGAAGCGGAGCTCCCGCTTGGCTTGCTGTACTTGCAGTCTCCGCGGCTTGCCTGTGCCGACGTTTCGGCCAGCAAACCGCGCTCTGTGCCCTCTCTGCCGGAGAGCTCGGGAACTGCGGCTGCGGGCTGCGGCGCCGCAGACTTGAACAGTGCAGTGTTCTGCAAAGTCCCGTTTGCCGCGTTCTCGATGATCCTGGCTGCTTTCGAGGCGTACGACCAACGACAGGCAGACTTCTTTTCACAGTTTTTCAGCTGCAAAACTCAAAACGCCAAGGGCGGCTGCGTCGTGCTGCAGTTCTCGAGGTGGCTGAATTTCCCGTACCACTTGGCGCGCTTCTACGCGAATCACGTCGCGCACTGCGTGAAGTTCAAGTGTGCGGCAGCTTCTGCGCGGCTTGCCGAGGCAGCTGCTGAGTTGGCGCGCTTGCTCGTGCAACTGTTGGCGGGCGACGAGATCGCTGCGCTCGCGGCGTGCGCGGACGCAGGCGCGCGCAGCAATTTGCTGTCGCTGCGCGCAGAGTGCTTGCTTGCAGTCGTGGAAGCTCTGTCGGCGTGCAAGGCGCACTTGTCGCCAGCGGCCGCGGCGGCGCTCGAAGAGCAGAGTAGCGTCTGCGACGTGTTCTTCGCAGACTTCTTCTCTCTCTGTCTGGCTGACTCGCTGAACTCGGTGCAGCGCAGTTCCTCTGCAGCCGCTTACTATCCTGTGTTCGGCGCGAAGCCGCGAGCGCCCGAGTCTGGAAAAGAAGGCGGCCCGTTTCTTGGCTTCGCGCAGCTCGCGACGGTTCTGCGGAACGCGGCCAAATCGTGTTGCAGCGGCATGGCGGCTCAGGACGCGGCGGAATTTCGAGACAACTTCGAAGAGTACGTCGCGCTGAAAGCGTACCGCGCGCCGCCGCTGCGGATGCTGCTCTCGCGCCCTGCTTTGCTGGAGAGTCTGGAGGCGCTAGTGCGCGGGCAGTCAGAGTTTTTGCGGCAGCGCGCGCTGCCTGCGCCGTTGAAACAAATCGCTGGCCGAGTAGCTGCTGAAGTTTTCGCAGAACTGCAGGCGAGCAGAGCGCACGCTGCCGCGGCGCCGCAACCGGAGCGCGGTGCTGCGAAACGCAGCAACCTAGACACTTACGAAGCTTACAACAAGTTGCTGCGGAAGAGCACGCGCGCGGAAGCGGAGGAGAGCGAAGAGCAGGCGCGCGAGTGGGGCACGGAGGCCGAGCGCGCCGTGCTCGACTCGCGCTTCGTGTTCGAGGAGCGCGGGCTGATCTCGAAATCCGCCGCGCCTGCGCAGCTGGCGAAACCAGCGCAGCTGCCCGCGTACACCGAGGAAGACTGCTGCTGCGAGCTGCTGGGCGCGTTTAGCAGCGCGCTGCAAGCTCCGCCGGCAGCAAATTTCTTCAGCTTTGCGAGCAAAGCAGAGCTCAGCCGGCTCGCGTTCGACTCGGAGGCACAGTACGTTGAGTGTTTCGGCGCCATGCTTCTCGAAGAGGTCAGAGCCGTTGCGGCGGCTGCGCTGCTCGACAAGCCTAGCTCGGTGTGCTGCCTCATGTCGGTCAGTACGCAGAAGAACCACCCGCGGTACACGCTGAAAATGCTGTCTGCGCAGCGGAACAGCCGGCCGCTCGACCGAAAGCTGCAGGGAACTGCGCTTTCACTGCTGGTTTCGCGGCACGCCGAGTACTTCGAGCCGCCGCGGCTGAACCGCTTCACAGTGGGCTTCCTCGTGCAGGACCCGGGGCTGGACTTGCAGCCGGCGCTGCAGAGAACGAAGCTGGGCGCGCTCGCCGCGAGCGCGGACAAAAGCTTTGCGCTGGCGTTCGTGCTGGAGTGCTCGGAGGATCGGGAGTTGCGAGTGCTGACCGCCGCGGATTGGTGCCACAACGGCTTTCAACTCGACGTGCTGAATAACCGAACCTTCCAGTTCGCCGAAGCCGTGAACCTCACTTCGTTTTTGCGACAGCTTACCGCGCTCAAGCGGCTCGACAAGTCGTGGCTCGAGCAGCTGCTGCTGAAGAGCGGCAGAGCAGGCGCTGCGCGCGTCCCGGCTCCGTTGCCGGCGGTGCTGCACCAGCAAGTGCGCGCAACTTGCGCGCACGCCGCGCTGAACGCGCCGCAAGTGGAGGCGACGCTCGCCGCGGTGCGCGATGCGCCGCAGAGCTGCACGCTCGTGCAGGGCCCGCCGGGTACGGGGAAAACGACTGTCGTGCTGAGCCTGCTGTCGTGTCTGCTGCAAGCCAGTTTGCAGCGTGACGCGAGTTCGTACGTCCGGGTTAAGAACGCGCAGCGCGAGTTTAGTGTGCCGCTCGAGAAGCGCGTGGCCGGCAAGATCTTGGTCTGCACGCCCAGCAACTCGGCCGCCAATGAGATTCTGTTGCGCGTGATCGCAGCCGGCTTGGTCGACGCCGCGGGGGTGCGTTTCCGGCCCTCCGTGCTGCGCTTGGGCGCGCTGACGCGGATTAAGGACGCCAACGTGTTCCCGCACGCGTTCGACAGCCTGCGCGGCGACGCTGCGGCGCTTTCCGTGCACGACACGCTCGCCGCGCTGCAGGGCGAGCTTTCGGCGCTGGAGAAAGCCGCCGCGGCCTCGGGCGCCGAAGCGAAGCCGGAAACGCGGCTCGCCGCCGCCAAGACGGGCGCAGGCAGCGCGCTGCCGGCCACGCAGCGAGCGGCGCTCGAAGCTGCGGTCGCGCAGCTCAAGCGCTTCGCGGCAGACGCGCGCAAAAGCCTGTTCGACTACACAGATGTCTTCTTCAGCACGATTAGCAACGTCGGCGCGCCGGAGTTCGCGCAGCTGCAGCGGCAGTGCGACTACCTGATCATCGACGAGGCTGCGCAAGCGGGCGAGTCGCTGTGCGTGGTCCCGCTGGCGTTCCGCTTCCGCAAACTGATCATGTTCGGCGACGCGCAGCAGCTGCCCTCGACCGTGATCTCGCCGCGGCTGAAGGCGACCGCGTTTGAGCGCAGTCTGTTCGAGCGACTCGAGCAGCTCGGGCACCCGGTCGAAATGCTGCGCGTGCAGTATCGAATGCACCCGCAGATCTCGCACTTCCCGAACCAGCAGTTCTACGGCGGCCAGCTGCTCGACGGGCCGAACGTGCGCTGTGCGCTGCCCGTGCTGTTCCAGCGCGCGAAGCTGCAGCCGCAGCATCTCGTGTTTCTCGCGCTGCCGGCTGCTGCGCAGCGCAGAGCCAACAGCTATTGCAACCTGCGGCAGGCGCAGTTCGTCGCGCAGCTGCTCGCGCTGTTCGACAGCGGTCGCGCGCGCGCGGGCGCCGCGGCGGTCAGCGGCAGCGACTTCGCGGTGATCACGCCGTACAAGGCGCAGCGCGACGCGATCGACGCGCTGACCGCGCCGCTGTTTGACGGCCGCGGTGTGCGTGTGGAGACTGCGGACAGCTTCCAGGGCCAGGAGGCGCGCTACGTGATTCTGTCCACGGTGCGCGGACTCGGCACGTCGGCGGCCGAGCCGCCTGGCGCGAGCGAGTCGCGCGCGCTGCGCGAAGGGCTCGGCTTTGTCGCGGACAAGCGGCGCCTGAACGTCGCCGTTACGCGCGCGAAGGAGCTGCTGATCGTGCTGGGCGACGAGAGCGCACTGCGGCGCGACCCGATCTGGCGCGCGCTGATCGAGTACAGTCAGGCGCTCGGCTCCGCGACGAGCCCGAGCTACATCGCGCTGGACGCCGCGCGCGCAGAGCGCTGCCGCGGCGTCGAGAGTGTGCCAGTGTTGACAGACTTTGCGGCGGACTACAGATTCATAGTGGACAATTTTGCGCCTCAGTAAAGTATTTCGAATTTTCGCGCCGCCTCGAATAAATGCACTCGGAGAGCGACGAATTCGGAGCCGAGCTCTCGGACGCCAGCGCAGAGCGCGGCGGGCCGGAGCGCGACGAGCCGGAGCGCGGCGGCCGGCGCGCGCTCGCCGACTCGGACGTCTGGAAAGTCATCGACTTCTACTTCGACGAGTACGGCCTCGCGCACCAGCAGATCGAGTCGTTCAACCACTGCATTTCCGTGAAGCTGCCCGACATCGTGCGCAACCACTCGCCAATCCTGGTGGTCTTGACCGGGTTCGTCGACGAAAGTTCCAACCGGTCTTACTCGCTCTACTACAGTTTCTCGTGCGGCAACCTGCACTTCATGAAGCCGCAGGTCGAAGAGTCGGACGAAAACATGCAGGTCGCGTTGCGCGCGCTGACGCCCGAAGAGGCGCGGCTGCGCAACCTCGTCTACGCCGCGAACGTGTACCTCGACATGAACCAGGAGGTCTACAAGGTGTTCGAAGATGGCGAAAAAGTGCTCGTCAACTCGCACCTGTACAGCGACCTGTTCATCGGAAAGCTGCCGGTGATGCTGCGCTCGCAGCTGTGCTATCTGCACAAACTCGACGACGCGGGCCGCGTCGCGCTGAACGAGTGCCGCTACGACCAGGGCGGCTACTTCATCGTCAACGGCACGGAAAAGGTGCTGATCGCGCAGGAGCGCATGGCGAGCAACATGGTCTACTGCTTCAAGAAGAAAAACCAGAAGGTCGAATGGAGCGCCGAGATGGCCGTGCAGCGCGATAACTACTACGCGACCAGCGTGTTCAGTCTGCAACTCACGGCCGCCACGCAGGGCAAGGGAAGTCGCATCGTCGTGACGCTGCCGTACATCCGCGCGCCGATCCCGCTCTGCGTGCTGTTCCGCGCGCTCGGCATCGAGAGTGACCGCGGCATCGTCGAACGCATTCTGCACGAGTTCGACGACCAGGAGATGTACAAGTTGCTGCTACCCTCTTTCCAAGACGTCTCCAGCGAGTTGACCTACCTCGCCGCGCTCGACTATATCGGCAAGCGCGGGCCAACGCTCGGCGCCGCGCAGGACGCGCGCATCCGTTACGCGCAAGACTTGCTCGACCGCGAACTGTTTGCGCATATCGGCGTCTCGCGCGACCTGCTCGACCGCAAGTCGTGGTTCCTCGGCGACGTCGTGTACCGGCTCTTGCTGCGCGTGCTGAACCGCGAGCAGGAGGACGACCGCGACCACTTCGCGCGCAAGCGCATCGAGCTCGCCGGCGTGCTGATCGCCAGCTCATTCGGCACCTTCTTCTTCAAGCTGATGAAGGACGTCGGCAAAAGCTTGCGGCGCTACATCGAGAATAACCGCGCGTTTGACCTCGCGAGCATCGTGCGCACGCTCTCGCCGATTACGCACGGGCTCAAGTACCAGATCGCGACCGGCAACTGGGGGCGCAACAAGGAGGGCAACGTCGTGCGCACCGGCGTCAGCCAGGTCGTCAACCGGCTGACCTACATGTCCGCGCTCTCGCACTTGCGCCGGCTGAACACGCCGCTGGGCCGCGACGGCAAGTTCGCAAAGCCGCGCCAGCTGCACAACACGCACTGGGGCATGATCTGCCCCGCCGAGACGCCCGAGGGGCAGGCGGTCGGGCTCGTCAAGAACTTGGCGCTCGCCTGCCGCGTGACCGTCGGCTTCTCGCCGGAGCCCGTAATCGAGCTGCTCAAGCAGGCCGGCATGCGGCTGCACGAGGACTGCACCGTTGCCGAGCTGCAGACTACTGCGCGCGTCTTCGTCAACGGCGTCTGGGTCGGCTGCTACGCATCCGGAGCGCAGATCGCGAACTTGCTGCGTTACGTGCGCCGCCAGGGCGAGATCGACTCGGAGACCTCAATCGTGTACAACATGCGGCTGAACGAGGTGCGCATTCTGACCGACGGCGGTCGCACGCTGCGCCCGCTCTTCGTCGTCGAGAATAACAACCTGAGCCTCACGCGCTACCATGTCGCGAGCGCTGCGCGCTCCGAGTCGCCCTGGCAGTACCTGCTGAACCGCGGCTTCGTCGAGTTTTTGGACTGCGCCGAAGAAGAGGTGTCGATGATCGCGATGTTCGTGACGGACTTGCACACTGACCCCGCGCAGAAGAACGTCGCGAGCTACACGCATTGCGAGATTCACCCGAGCCTGATCTTCGGTGTCTGCGCGAGCTTGATTCCGTTCCCCGACCACAACCAGTCGCCGCGCAACGTCTACCAGAGCGCGATGGGCAAGCAGGCGATTGGCGTGTACATGTCGAACTTCGGCATCCGCTTCGACTCGTCCGCGCACGTGCTGTTCTACACGCAGAAGCCGCTCGTCTGCACGCGCGGCGTGAAATACTTCAAGTTCAAAAACATCCCGTCCGGCGTCAACTGCATCGTCGCGATTTGCTGCTACACCGGCTACAACCAGGAGGACTCGCTGATCATGTCGCAAAGCGCCATCGAGCGCGGTCTGTTTCGCAGCATGTTCCTGCGCACCTACGTGGCCGAGGAGCGGCTGCGCGGCTCCGTGCTGATTGAGCAGTTCGAGAAACCCGACCCGACCGTCTGCGCTGGGCTCAAACGCGGCGACTACGGCAAGCTCGAAGACGACGGCTTGGTCTCGCCGGGCTGCTTCGTGCTCGGCGACGACATCATCATCGGCAAAACGCTGCCGATCCCCGCCGCAGAGTGCGCGATCGGCAAGAAGTCGAAGCGCGACGCGTCGACCATTTTGCGCTCCAACGAGAACGGCGTGATCGACAGCGTGCTGCTCAGCTGCGGCGTGAAGGGCACGCGCTTCGCGAAAGTCAAAGTACGCAGCATTCGCGTGCCGCAGATTGGCGACAAGTTCGCCTCGCGCCACGGGCAGAAAGGCACCATTGGGTTCACGCTGCGCCAAGAAGACCTGCCGTTTTCGCCGGACGGCATCACGCCCGACTTGTTGATGAACCCGCACGCCGTGCCCTCGCGCATGACCATTGGACATTTGGTAGAGTGCTTCTTGGGCAAGTACTACTCGGTCGTCGGCGGCGAAGGCGACGCGACCCCGTTCTGTGGACAGAGCGTTAAGCAGATCAGCGAATGGATGATGTCAATCCGCTTCCACCGCTACGGCAACGAGCGGCTGTACAACGGCTTTAGCGGCTACCTGCTCGAGAACATGATCTTCTTCGGGCCTACGTACTACCAACGGCTCAAGCACATGGTCGACGACAAGGTGCACAGCCGCGCGCGCGGCCCCATTGCTGCGCTTACGCGGCAGCCCATGGAAGGCCGGCTGCGCGCGGGCGGGCTGCGCTTCGGCGAAATGGAGCGCGACTGCATGATTTCGCACGGAGCCGCTCGCATCCTCAAAGAGCGCCTCTTCGACTTGTCCGACGCGTACACTGCGCACGTCTGCGACAACTGCGGCCTTTTCGCCGTCGCAGACCTCAAGCAAGGCCTCTACAGCTGCACCGGATGCGCGGAGAAGCAGCAGATCAGCAAAGTGGCGCTGCCCTACGCGTGCAAGCTGCTGCTGCAAGAGCTCAGCGGCATGCAGATCTACCCGCGGCTCGTGCTTCAGTCGACTTAGCGCGCTCAGAGCGCGAACACGCTTAGCGCAAACTCTGCGTCGTCGTCCGGCACGTACGCGGCGAGCTGCTCCGCGCCGGCCTCCGGCCAGAAGCTCATTTTGCTGAAGACCATGCTTTGCGTTTTGTACGCCATGACGCGCCAAAACCCGCAGCAGGCCCACACGTTGATCGACAGGTCGAACACGTAGAGCAGGCAGCTGTGCAGCGCGCGCCGTGCGAACAGCGACTCCGCGTTGCCGCTCGCCAGCGCGAGGCTCACCGCGAGCGTCGCGGCGAACACCGCCACGTTCAGCGCCGACAGCAGCAGCATGAACGCCAAAAACTGCGAGGTGCGGCTGCAGCTGAAGCAAAGCGTCGACAACGACAGCGCGACGCTGAACGTCATCGTTCCGAACGCGTAACACTGAGCCGAGTGCAGCGCAACTTACGTATACGTGGGCGGCTGCGCTCAGCAACGTCAGCGTCTGCAGCACTGCGCTCGCCATGCCAGCACTTACCGAGAAGCGAGGATTTAATCTGTGCGTAGTTGCGGCTGCTGAGCGGTTCGCTGTACAGCAGCGCGGAAACCTGCGTTGCAGCGGCGCGCACTTACGAGGATTCCGAAAACGTCCATTACGGCGAACTCATCTGAACGGTTCAGAGAGAAAATTGAAGACGCGTGCAAAGGTTTTATTGCGGCTGTTTCCCCGCGAGTATTTGCTCTCGGTTATTCTGTCCGCGGCGCGACTAGACGCACAGCAAAAACTTGACCATTCCGAGCAGACGGAACGCGGAGTCGTTTGCCTGCAGCGAAGGAAGCAACTCGGAAAGACTGGAACAGTCGGACTCCGCCAAGCCCACGCGCGCTGCAGCTTCTCGAGTGCCCGCAACAACGACTCTGTCCTTCGCGAACAAGCTTGCTTTGACCAGTGCGTCGGCGAGCTGCGCGCTTGACTCAGCGGCGCCAGCCAGGCATACTACAGCGCTGCTCGCCACGCGCCCGTACAGCGCCGAATCGGGCACCACGGCCAGCGCGTCGCCCGAGCACAACTTTTTCAGTTTTTCGTAGTATTCCACTCTATCGTCTTCGGTGTGCGGCACGCTAGCTCCGGCTGGCGCAGCGGATTGCACGGCGTCGGCGCTGTTTTTCTCCTCGTCGCGCTCCGCCTCGCTAAGGTGCGTCGCGCAGTGCGACGCCAGTAGCGAAGAATCGCCCGGCGGCTCCAAGCAATTCTTTTCCTCCGCAGCTGAGCCGTCGCTAAGCACGCTGCCGCGCTTGACGCTGCTGGCGTTCTCGATGCTTTCGGTGCTTTCTGCACTTTTGCTGCTCTTGCCGCTTTCGGCGCTTCTGGCTCCCCTGATGCTTTCGGCGCTTCTGCTGTTTTCGCTACTTTCGGCGCTGGGCTTGCGGGGTGGCGAAGCGCTGAGCGAAGAGCCGCTGCTTCGCGCGGCGGAGTCCGCGCCCGCTTCGCGAGGCTCGGCTTCGCCAACCGGCGAAACTGCGGCTAGTGGCGCGGCGTGTTCGAGCGCCGCGCCAGAGGCGGCCTCGAGTGCAGCAGGGTCGAGCTCCGAGTCGTACACGATCAGCGACTCTAGCCCGTCGGTCGGCATCTCGAGCTCGCGCGTCGGCAGCACGACGTCCGGCTGTTGCGGCGCCAACTCGTTCGCGAGCGCTTGCGCCTCGAGCGAGTTTGTCCTGCTGAAAACGTCAATCACTACTTGTAACAGCGAGACGAGGCGCGGCTCGGTTGCTACGAGCGCGACTGGCTTTTGCGCTGGGAACTTCAGCAGCAGGAGCACGCCGAGCGCGACCGCGCTGAGCGCGCTCGCGAGCTCTTGTAGCAGCTCAACGCCTTCTTCGCCTGCGTCTTGCTCAGACGCAAACATCTGCGCGGCGAGCGCGTCGTAGGTTGACGCACAGTCGAGAAAGAACAGCTTCGCTTTTCGCGACGCACTAGACGGCAAAGCCTGTAGCCGTAGCCCCGCGACCGCGCCAGACTCGAGTGAGGCAGCAAGCGCGCGCTGCGCAAACGTGTTCGCGGCGCGCAGCAGACAGTCGTGCGGTTCCAAGACACTACGCTGCCGCGCTAGTGTCGCCCAGCGGTACCATCGGTCGAAGTATCCCGTCGCCGAGTTCAGCGGGTGCTGCGGCGCGCAGAAGCGCGGCGAGAGCAGGTCGACGTGAATCGCTACGCTAGCCGGCCTGCAGAACTCGATGAACTGCAGCACGCTAAACAACGCTTCGTCCGGAACCAACTCGGCGCCCACCACGTGAAACTGTGTGCCGTTCGGCCAAAAGTCGCAGATTTCGCCGATGCACGCCTGAAAGGTCGCGGA